ACTTCTACCACATTTGCCCCCAACTGGGCTCAGGCAGCACTGGGGGGTGACCAGGAGGAGGGACACATGGGACACAGGATCTCCTGCTGTGGGTTCCTCCAGGTGACCCTTAAAACCAAGGACAAACTGGAAGCCTTTTTTAGCTGGGACACAAACCCTGTGTCAGTGGTGGAAGTGCAAAGAGGTGCTATACTCCATCCTACACCTCACCTCTCTTAGGTGCAAAAATGACCAAACAAGTTCAACTCCTCGAGGAAGTCCAGAGGTTATTCCACAGGCTAAATTCAAGTTTTTATAGACCTGCATTTATTGAGATCATCTGAGAAAAGTATCTACTCAGAGGTGATGGCAAAGTAGTAGATTCCTCCCCCTGTCCCATCCTCCCAACGTGCTGTGTTTGCAGAGTGTGCCTGGGGAAGACCATTTGTTGCAGCTGCTTTTCTAGCATTTCAGTGCCTTCCCCGGGGGATGTGCCTCTACTGAGGGCTGAACATAAATATTTGGAAGAAGGTAAACTCTGTCCTGCCTGTCAGCACTGTGAGTCATAGCCCCCAAGGAAACAGCACAACACTAATCCCTCCATACGACAGGAAGGCTTGGAAGGATTAGGTCTGTAAATGCTCTGATATTTCTACCTGAGAATCACTTCTAGAAGATCAGGAGCTTGTTTGAAAGCAGATTTCAGCTACAGATGTGACAGCAGAGCAGTTTGGCTCCAGGAGGGTAGTGATTTTGCATACAGGTTCTTAGACCTTTTGCTCATTAAAGGTACTAATGACTATTTTACCGATGGTTAATATGGACATATCTCATCTGCAAAACTTTGACAGCTTCATGACTACTTCTAGTTTCCACTGCCAGCATTAATCCAGGAAAAACTGCCTTTTTTTGCTTCCACCACAACTTCTTAAGGATGCTGCTATGTCCTGTGGGGTAACACACCAGTGCATGTCTGTGGCTACCTGTCTCTCTCTCCTCTTCCATTAATATCCCTGACAATGACATCTCTCTGATTGCACTTCCAAGAATTTGTCCTCTCATGGCTCCAAGGTGCCTTCAACTGCCTCTGCTTTCCAAATGAGCTCAGCTCCCACCACAGCCAGGAGTTGCTCAACACTTCTTGGTGTTGAGCCTAAAACACCCTCACTCTAGATGTGGCTACCTGTCTCTCTCTCCTCTTCCATTAATATCCCTGACAATGACATCTCTCTGATTGCACTTCCAAGAATTTGTCCTCTCATGGCTCCAAGGTGCCTTCAACTGCCTCTGCTTTCCAAATGAGCTCAGCTCCCACCACAGCCAGGAGTTGCTCAACACTTCTTGGTGTTGAGCCTAAAACACCCTCACTCTAGAAAGGATTTTAACACCACAGCCAGGAGTTGCTCAACACTCCTTGGTATTGAGCCTAAAACACCCTCACTCTAGATGCAAAAGGATTTTAGTGACTTTAATTGACTGTATTGTTGTCGTTTCTTGGCTCTGAAGCCCAACTCAAGGCAATTAGCTCATGTAGTGTGACCTTCTCTTTTAATTTCATAACTAACTCCTCCCAACCTCACCATGCTAGAGCATGGAGGCCTGGAATTCTGGTTAGAATCTGTGTTTCCTGTGAGGGTTGGAGTGTATTGAGGTTGATGAGGTCTCTTGGCCACTTTGCTGCGGAGGTGGTTTGTGCTCAGCAATGAGCTCTGAGCTGCTTCAGCTCTCCTTGCTGCAAAAAAAGGGAAAGAAAATCTCACTGTGCACATGTGCAAGGACTGTGCAAAGAAAAGCAGAGATTCTGGTGTAGATTTTGTTGATTTTGAAAGTAATTCTTTGACCAAATTGCAGGTTCAAAGATGAAGGCACTCCAGAGAAATATGAGTGTGTTCCAACAGACAAAGATTCTCTTGTGGAAAAATGTCCTTATCAAGAGGAGGATGAAGATGCAGAGCTTCCAGGTAAGATTAAAAACTCAAAATGCTTACAAAATAGTAGCTAAACACAGATGGTGACCAATCCCTGCTGCCTCCTAGACACCAACACGTTTGGGTAAACTTCTCTGGGTAAAATCAGAAGTTAAAGGACTTTTGACAAACATGTCTGGCTATGAACTCTTTGAGATTTCAGTGTTTTAACTGATAACTTTTATGTCTGTTTTGTGACACATGAGAGCACAGAAAGGTTCATTGAGCAGAGGAATTTCCTGAGGAGAAGGGCACAAAGCAGAGCTTCAATGTCTTTGTCAACATCTTAATCGACATCTGAAAAACTGTTGAGTGCCTCTTGTTTAGATTTTAATCCCACAAGGATTGTGCTCTTATGCTGCTGTTTTACTAAGTTCTCTTCCCTGCTGTCCCTTGTGCCTAGGAGTGGATGTTGTCCCTGCTCTTCCTGCCCCTGGTGTTCATGCTGTCTGCTCTCATCTACCACATCCACTACCCTGAAGTTCCCTACAGCCACCTTGGGCACTTGGATGATCCTGCCTATAATGCCACTGGGGTCACCATTGCCTTTACACCCATCACTGCCACTACGAGGCAGATAATGAATAAAGTGGCCTTGAACTCTGTCATGACAGGTAGGTCTTGCCTTTTAAATCTTGAATTTTGTCGTTCTTTAACCTATTATACAGGTACTGTGGTTTAGTGGTTCTCCAGCAGCTTTGGTTAGGGGTGAAAATTCATCCCAAATCCTCCAGTTCCACAAATATTACTTCTCTGGTATTTAAATTACTCATGAGGCCAGTGCAAAGCTGACCTGGAAAGCTCTGCCTTACCTCATATTCCCTAATTCACCTCCTTGGAGGTGTTTAAGGAGGGACTGGACGTGGCACTTAGCTCCATGGTGTAGTTGACATGATGGTGTTAGGTCATAGGTTGAACTTGATGATCTCAGAGGTCTTTTCCAACCTGATTGATTCTGGGATTATCTAATCTTTTAAGACACCTTGGTTCATTCCTTTGAGGTGCACTTCTCCTCACCTGCTCAAGTACAAAGTATTTCAAGGTGCCAACCTGACCTGTGAGAACTGCAAAAGGAGGAGTTGCAATGCTAAAAAAGCACAATATTTCCCCCAATTCCTGTGGACACGTTTCCAGACCTACAAAAACTTATGGCAAAATTTTTCTTACAGGTATAAAACTAGAGGCACTGGACAGTGAGAGCGCCGTGGAAGAAGCCTGGATTTTGAATCATGACATTATAGGGGTTGTATTTAAGGACAACTTCTCCTATCACCTCAGGTTTCCTACTTCCAGTACAGTGATGCCAAATGATATTTTTGGATATATAGGTAATACAAAGTGAGACTTCCTGAGTGGGTCATTGCCTGCTGTGGGTAGGCAGCACTTTGCTGCAATAATCCATAGATGTGAAGTGAGAGAATAAACTGTGGGGTTTATTGCCAGCAGGTCACTGTCCATTTGAAGAGTTTCCCATAGTGCATATGTGTTCTTGCCATCACCATTTGTAGTGCAAATCAAGGACCTTTCACTGCTCTTACCTGTGATGCTTTTAACCTTGCAGATAGCTGTTTTGATTTCTCCTCAATGTTCTGTAAGAGCCCAAAGTACTGGTATGAAGGCTTCCTGTCACTGCAGTCCAGCATCAATGCTGCTATTACAGAGGTAAATCCAATTTAGGAACTGATGTAAGAATCTTTTTCCTTTCAACTTGATATAGGAAAGGCCAACTCTACTATGGGAATAGCAAGGGTCATGTTTGTCAGAAAATAAAGCTGCATTGAGAAATTAATCTGGGGAGAATGAATCAAAAGGTTCCTTATGCATCTTACTGTAGAAAATAAATAAAATACTGACATGCTGACCTTGAATTCCTTTAGGTGGTTGCAAATCATTCTGTTTGGGAAGAAATGAAATCACTTGCTGGTGTGCGAATGAAGTCCCAGAGTAGTGTCTTCGCCATTACACTGGAGTACAGTTATTTCATGATCACTATTGTGATGTGTTTCTTCCCCTTCATGTATTTCTTGTCAATGAATGTTACAAGAGAAAAGAAGAAGCTTAAAGTGTTGATGAAGACAATGGGGCTGCAGGATATTGCATTTTGGTGAGTCCATCTCTAACTGAACTATGGAATCATCAGGCTTGGAGGAGATCTCTAAGATCATTGAGTCCAACCATTAACCTGTCACTGCTGGAACCCCTAAACCATATCCTCCAGCACCAGATACCTCTTAAACACTTTCCAGGGATGGTGACTCCCTGGTGGTCCTCCCTGGGCAATATTCCACTGCCTGAACACCCTAACAGGGAAAAAACTGAAGTATATTTGCCAAAAATCAGCTTGCCCTTGGTCACTTGTGCAGTCAGTTAATAAGTTAAAGGAGTTCATAAGTTTCCTCCAGCACTCCAAGGACAAGCCAGATGGTTGAGCATGGCAGTGGTGTGCTCTTATCCCTTGGCTGTTTCCTCCTAAGGTGGATCATGCTGTGTGTTCTGCCTAGGATGTGAATGAAATAACGAACATTTTGATTCCAGCTGCTTCTGACATGCAGATGATGTTGCAACAACAGTTCTTAATTACCCAGAAGTGTAATGGCACCTTTCCATCCTCAGGCTTTCCTGGAGCCTGCTGTATTCTCTCTATGTGTTGATCTTCTCCTGCCTGCTGACAGCCCTTGTCGTTCGGGATCCTTTCGTCCTCAGCAGCTTCCCTGCAGTCTTACTGCTGTTTTTCCTCTATGGCTTGGCATGTGTAAGTCAGGTTTTAAAGCTACATTTTCTCACCCCATGATTTATTGCTCTGTTGATGAGCCCAGAGCCGTTTGCACAGTGCTCAGCACTGTGTCCTAGCTGAGTGGCTCCTCTGCCTCAGCAGCAGGGATTTGATTTGCAGCCTGAAGGTCTGACAGGCTGCAAAAGACCTGATTTGAAACTCAGATCAGCCACTAAGAAGGACTTTAGTGTATTTTATTGCATGACCTCAGCTCACCAAGGTCTGGTTGCTTGGCGAAAGGAAGTGCCACTGTTAAAGATATTTATTTCCTTCAGTGATTGAAGGAAACTTCTCTTCTTGCAGATCCACCTGGTTTTCATGCTCTGCTCCCTCTTAAGGACCTCCAAACTTGCCAGCTCCATGGGGTTCCTCATCACCTTTCTCTTTGGATGCCTGAGCCTTGCAGTGCTGATAGAAAATGTTCCAGAACCACTGAAATGGTTTCTTGGGCTCTTCTGTCCTTTTGCATTTAACGTCGCCATCGCAGAGGTATGGGACATCATCTCTGCAGCTCAGCCTTCCCATGCTCATAGGCATAGGAAATCATACCCTTACTTCCAAAAAACCAGATGTAAAATCTTCAGGTGTTTTTCATTCACACCCATGTCCTGGTTTGAAACCTCCAAGTGAGCTGAGCTGCTGTTGGGAAGCAAAGAGAAGCTCCAATGCCCCATCCCATTGCTGGATCTTAAAAAGAGATGAAAGCAAAGAAAAACACAGCCCTTATCACAAAAATCTGCTGTCATGCACTTCTGTAGCTCCTACAAGAACCAGAGGAAGCCTCAGTGACCCCATTGCTGCACACAGCAGCATCATTGTCCTCGGGGCTGAGCCTCAGCAGGCAGGAGGTGACTTGGGGACATCAGGGACCTGTTGGCTGCCTGGTCATTCCCCTCTCACTGCAGCAACTCTTCCTGTCAGCAGAGACTGCAAATATGACTGGAGA